AATTTGGATAAAGCGGTGGAAATATGAAGCAAAAGGACTTTTGGGGGGCAATGCACGTGGTTTGGCGCCCCCTAGCGTGTAAGGACGGGGGAGCAGGAGATGGGCTGGAGAGGCCTACAGGACTCATAATCAGAAAGGGCCTTTGGTGCCAACGTGAGAAATTTGAGATTTAAGTGAATGTTATGAGAAACCATTCTGCAGTTTTATGCATATTTAGTTTTTACTGAAAGCACTTTTATTTGTTTCTAAACAGTCCCATAAATTTTTCAATCTATAAAGCAGTGACTTTGGGGGTGCCTGAGTGGCTCGGTCGTTGGGCATCTGCCTTCAGCTCAGGTCATGACCCCAGCATTCTGGGATTGAGCCCCTGCTCAGCAGGGAGCGTGCTTCTCCCTCTCCAGTTTCCCCGTGCTTGTGTTCCCACTCTTGCTAGCTCTGTCACAAATAAATAAGTAAATCTTTAAAGCAGTGATTTTGTTTTTTGTTTTTTGTTTTTTTTTTAATTTGACAGAGATCACAAGTAGGCAGAGAGGCAGGCAGAGAGAGAGAGGGGGAAGCAGGCTCCCTGCTGAGCAGAGAGCCTGATGCGGGACTTGATCCCAGGACCCTGAGATCATGACCTGAGCCAAAGGCAGGGGCTTAACCCACTGAGCCACCCAGGCGCCCTTTAAAGAGTGATTTTGTATCCTAATTTGACATTACACTCACATGACATGTTATTAAAAATATATATCCATAAGCTTCACCTTCGACAAAGATTCTGATTGGTTTTGTCTGGGGACAGGTCCTAGGCATTAGCATTTTCAGAAGAGCGATTGTTGATTCTAAACGAAACCGGGGTTGAAAATCACTGCTTTTGTGGTGATTCATTTAATCAAACAATCAGATCAACATCTGGCTGAGAAATGTCTAGGACAGCAGCTGTTGCGACTTTGATTAAGTGGGTGTGAATCACCTAGGCATCTGTTCAGTTTCAGTAGGTCTGAGCCAGGGGCTTGAATTCTGCAGGTCCAGCAAACTCCCTGGTGACGCTGCTGGTGCTGTTGGAAACAGTGTCGACTCTAGGGTGAAGAGGAAAGAGTGCACGTGTCATTTTGGAAGTGGGCATCTGTAAAATAGTTCCTGCTGGGGCATATTCCCCTTGGAAGAATTTAAGACAACACA